TGCTCCGGCCTTGTACATATCACTTGCTATTCGAAGCAATATTATAGAGCGAATGTGAGCGGAGTTCGAAATCAAGTCCATGGCAAAGTCTTTGACATCATCAGCACTAGCTGCCGATGACGTTATCAGGATATTTCTGAGATTGTCAATAGCCATTTCCGCTTCGTTTGTTCTGCCAAGTTGTATAAAACACTCGATCATCATAAGCAATGTATCCGAATCCTGATGGTTTTGCAGGGTTGTCAGTTCTCTTAGGATCGGAACTGCCTCTTCGTATTTGGACTTGCCGAGTAACATCGAAGATTTTTCTGAAAATAAAATAGACTTTAGAAATAAATGACAAAGGAAATTATCAGGAACATAGCTCAGCTTATGTATTGTAGATTGTACGCCTTTGCGCGTATAAAAATTGTATATGTCACTCATACTAATGGACATGTGCTTTCTACCTGCTATTATAAAACGAAAATGCAATGGGATTACATCGTATTGTGATTCACGATTTTTCAAAATATTCTCAGGTAATGATAATTACGGAAAAATGATGGTACATTTGGTTATTTTCTATAGTATAGGCTGACCCCAAGAAAATGAAACCAAGTCTATATGAAACATGTTGTGGTATGAATTAAATTTTTTTGGGTCACCCTGTATATATAACTTCATTTGAAAAATGCGAAGCAAATGTTACCAATGCAGTATTTCGTACACACAACGGCTCAGCGGTTTAATTGTAGATACCGTATTTGCTCGTTTTATAGCCCGGCCCCATATTTTTTTAACCAAACTCACTAACCGGGCCCTTATTAGAAGAAAAGTTTTGCGACGCACTATCAATATTGAAACGACACACGCGACGCCAGTTTGAGAACCAAGGTGTCACGTAACCAATGCTATCTGTTATGTAATTAGACGTCTAAGGTGTGAGTGTTATCTACCAGCGCTTAAAATTCAACAGCGTTGTGACAAAAACGCTTCTTATTTCCTATTGTTCTCTAATACTGAAAAATCAGCTTTTACATCGGGCGGGTATTCAAGCGGGCCCTTAATCAAGATCGGGCGGTAAAACGAGCATATACGGTATACTGGCATCTAAAACTTGCTTTGAGATTTGCGCTGACATGCAGTGTCTGGCGCATTGTCCATGAAATACATGATTCGTGGTAAAAATGGCTTTTTTAAACCGAGCTGGGTTTTGTTAAAACCGCGAGCCCTGTTGTTAGGTGATCCACTTACCTCGCATCATTGGAATCTTCAGAGGGTTCGATTTGCTTGCTCCAATGTTGAAAGATGGTAGCGGCTTTTGCTGATAAAAGTTTTCATTCGAAGAATCTCTTGAAATGTCTTGGACTTTGAGAAGGCCTAGGAGAAATTTAGATTTTCTAATGAAAAAGATAAGGCATGATGATTAGTTTTCCGATTAACCGTTGAAGCACAGTGATTTCTAACCAAGTTATAAAGGTCGAAAATACCACCAGCACGGTACGACCACCCCGCCATAACCATAAAAGTTAAAACATTTAATAAGCAATTATTCAATAGCAAAAATTTCCGCTTATCATTTCGTTGTATGCGAAAACATAAATTTTCTCCGTAATCCCCCTAGTAAGTACGATAACAGCAACATACGATTTATATCTCACCTTTCTTTGTTGTTGTCCGACATTCTGGGCACCCTGTTGCTGTCCGACATTCTGGGCACCCTGTTGCTGTCCGACATTCTGGGCACCCTGTTGCTGTCCGACATTCTGGGCACCCTGTTGCTGTCCGACATTCTGGGCACCCTGTTGCTGTCCGACATTCTGGGCACCCTGTTGCTGTCCGACAGTTTGGGCACCCTGTTGCTGTCCGACAGATTGGGCACCCTGTTGATGTCCGACATTCTGGGCACCCCGTTGCTGTCCGACATTCTGAGCACCCTGTTGCTGTCCGACATTCTGGGCACCCTGTTGCTGTCCGACATTCTGGGCACCCTGTTGCTGTCCGACATTCTGGACACCCTGTTGCTGTCCGACATTCTGGGCACCCTGTTGCTGTCCGACAGTTTGGGCACCCTGTTGATGTCCGACATTCTGGGCACCCCGTTGCTGTCCGACATTCTGGGCACCCTGTTGCTGTCCGACATTCTGGGCACCCTGTTGCTGTCCGACATTCTGGGCACCCTGTTGCTGTCCGACAGTTTGGGCACCGCTTTGATTCTGTGCACTATTAATATTAAACTGCAATATAGATTGCTGTTGGTTTTGCTGGCTACCTTCAGCCATGTTCTCTGCTCATAAGAACTTACTCAACGATTCAGTTTCGTGAAGTTAATGAAGCTTTCAAAATATTTTGGGCGAGACGAAGCTGTACGAATAAATATCCCGATGTCCTTTGTGTAGGACGAAGCTATAAATGACGGGACAAGCGGAACCCGATACTTTTTAACACTTTGCGCACGTTAGTATTAAAAGTATTGTATATTGGAACGCGTGGTGTGTAAACTTGTAAATTACTTATTGTTAATTTAACAAAGAAAACAATAAAGGAAAAACCAAGTATTGAGTAATTGAGCTTTGTATCCGATCCGGTTGAGTGAAGTTAACGAAGCTTTTGATATGTTTTAGGCGAGACAAAGCTATACGAATAAATATCCCGATGTCCTTTGTGTAGGACGAAGCTATAAATGGCGGGACAAGCGGAACCCGATACTTTTTAACACTTTGCGCACGTTAGTATTAAAAGTATTGTATATTGGAACGCGTGGTGTCAGGTGTGTAAACTTGTTAATAAGCAATCCCTTTGTTGTGTTTACGCTCACCGACCAGGACGTTACAAAACAAAATTGAGTTCCTATTTGACTGCTCAATATTTAAATTATATTTTCAAAATTGGATTTATTCACCAAGTCATGATGATATAATTTTTATTTAATAACGTTTGTTTGATCTCATCTGCTTTTCAACTCAGCAAACAAGGTGTCGCTGACACGATGACTTACTTTATAGTCTATCGCGTCAATTGCGGAAATATTGTATGTTTGTTTATTTTATATTTTTATTATTATGTTTGCTTAATTTTGTGTGTACAATATTTCAAGCACGACGAAATAAATATCTGAATCTGAAAACACAGTAGTTAAGGGACGAAACTTGTGGGGGCGCAAGCCCCTGATCTATAACGATCCCATAACACTCAACCGAATCGGATACAAAGCTCAATTACTCAATGCTTGATTTTGCCCTTTACTTGATTGTTTTCTTTGTTAAATTAACAATAAGTAATTAACACGACGCGATAAAGCGTAGTTAGCAACCACAAAACAGGAAAATCGTTTTATGTGTTTACAGTTACAGAAAATCAATTAAATTTAAATTCGACAAAAGAGACATTAATTCAATAGTTGGAATAAGCCACACTACAGAAATTGAAATGGATAACGCATGCACAATAATGAAAATATTAAGTATATGCTTTTAGATACGGTAATCTATCGTTGCCGACTGTAATCTATCGTTTCCCCCCCCCCCAAGACTAGGATAGGATTTACAATTTTACATGTTATATACGAAGTATTTTAATACTGGCGTCTGGCATCTAATAATGAATTAGTTGACTTTTTATTCAAAAATACAAATAGATGAGTATGTGCATGGGGATAGGAAGGAGCCATGGAGTAAGTAAAGGTGACAAGTACAGGTGATAATGAAGCAAGATTTAATATACCCATTCCAAGTTTTGTGACATCCCGTTCCTCCAATGTTTTGTTGATCTGTAACTTGATCATGGGGAAGTTGGTCCTTTTTTTTTATCTAAACTCGTATGGAAAAATTAGCCCGAAACTTTGGCAACGGGTAAAATGTTACCTCCCTTCCCTCTTCATTCAAGCGGTGCGACTTTCGACCTCCGTCGCAAAAAATGACTTGTTCAAAATACAATAAAGAACAGTTACGCATTCAACATGTCACAAACGCTTAGATTTATAAAAAACATACGACGGAGCCGCGCAATCGGATTCCCTTTCCACCGAAATAAAACTAAAATCCTGGCAAAACAACAAACAAACAAAATAGCCTAATGTTCGTTGAACCGTAGCATATTGTGCAACGTAAACAAAAACAATCTTTCTAATACCCCCGGTAGTACGTTTTTTTACCCTTGCCTTGGAGAAGACAATCACATAGCGTCACTTCTTTTCTTTGTTTGTTGACTTGTTTAGGGTAGGATTTGAATATTTTCAGATTTTCCCCAGGTTGGTCGTTGGATGTGTCGATACACTGATACCACCGGATACCGTACAACAATAAGACGGCTTAATCATAGGATTTACATATTTATCTCGGGGGAGAAGAAAGCCGATAAGACGGTCTAACCATATGACGAACCACTGCCTCTCGTCCGTTTACCGTACCAGTCCATGTTGGGTACGGTATGGGATTAGTTATTTGTTTTTTGGAAGCATGGAATTGATGGTGGAGGAAGCCGTAACCGACCAGCGGTTACGTGAACCACCTTACGTCAGCGAGGAGTTCAGCAATCCTCTCGCACATAACTACCCCGCATGGGATTCAAACCTGCGAACCCACGCAGGGTACCGTAATCAGTCAAATCAGAGATGCGGTGGTGAGCGTATTCCTAACGCTTAGCATGATGAGCCACACCGCCGCGCTTTATGGCATACTTGTACCATGACTCCCGTCTAGGATAGGATTTTACATATTCTGATATTTATCAGGGGGGGGAAAGACAATAAGACAACTTAATCATACTGTCAAACAGAACGACGGCCTCTTGTCTGGTTGCGGTACCAGTCCATGCCGGTTACCGTACCGTATGTGATTAATTTGCGAGGTATTTGTTGTCGAAAGCATGGACTTGTTGCCGTAGCAGTCCATGAATCATGCAGCCATGACTCTATATTGGTTAGGTACCGGTATGAGATTAGTTTGCCCGTTACCAGTAGTCTATTTATTTTCAGGTTACCACCCCTGTAGTTTACAGAAAATTTCTACTTTTTTCAGATAAAACATTTTTTTATGTTCCTAATGGATAATAACTAATGTGCAATATTGATGGACGGCCACACTGAATTATGGCTTGTAACGGCGGCTTCGATATGTGTTGCTTGCATAGTCGGACTCACACTAAGGATGCTCACAAACTGGATGCTGGAAAGACTTGCTGCTGGTTTGTACCTAATTAAAGTTTTTTTCATCCATTAAAAAGTAGCATGAAAAATTAAAAACAAATAAGAATTTGAATACACAATTCACTGGGCAAATTGAAAAGGGAAACTTCGAGATTCCAAAGATGGTTATGATACAGTGTCTCCTCCCTGTCCCGTTACTGTTGTTTCTTTGCAGCGCTAGCCTACTTACTGAAAGCCAATGCGTTCGTTTCCCGCTGATTCCCATTGATGGCAGACCTATCGCATGTAAAACCAGTACTAATTAGTCTAAATTCGAATTATTTGTACCGGTATCGTTATCGTCAATTCCTTCCTATTTTTCGAACTGAACCCGATATTTTGACAGAGAATATGCGAATGAAATTTCTATAACAATATGGTCAATAAAGCCAGCCGAGACAGCTTTAAATGTAGGAATGTAGGCCTATGTAGTAAAATCCGAAATTGGGAAGTTATAAAATCACAGCTAAGGGGTCGTTGTCTTTCGAGGCGTCCCGATTTGAAGTCACAAAAATATGGTAACCCTAGGGTTAGGTCATAATTTCAGGTACAAATATCACTTGGCTAGTCCCCGAACTCATAATAGAACGAAAATAAGGTAAATTGGAATAAAATGATGGCCTAACCTGGAACCTACACATACTATGTTCCGGTGTCATTCACATACTTCAGGAGTACCCAAATATCTACCGTAATTTATAATTTGTAAGATAGATAGATAGATAGATAGTTTATTTCGAAAACTCCATAACAAACCTAAATTTAAAATGGAGAATTCTGGAGGGCAAGCAAAACCTACAAAAAAGTTTAAAACATGAAGTATCTCATGTGCCTGCCCACCAGCACGCACACAAAAACACAAGCCCAATTAAATGAGGCTTGGGCTAAACTTAAAAAACAAAATACACGATAATTGGTTATATTCAGTGTTTGCCGGTTAGGGAGATATTAGTCAGTGACTTGACTCAATTCAGCCATTACAAAGACTAGTTGTGACTTTAAACATTTTAGAATAATACTCTTGACTCTTGGAACTGCTACAGTGCTAGGGCATCTTGATTTGGGGCTTGAAAAAATAAATAGGGTTCTTCGGATTAGCAAAGACTTTTCTGTAAAATAAGAATTACCTGGTATATTAATATAAAAATAATCTAAAATGTACTAGCTTGTTGAAGCAATAACTTAAAAAGGCTGTGTTGATGTCAAGATGAATGTTGTCGATAAATTATTGAATCTTAGTTTGACTTTAAATCTAGATTAACATTGGTGTGACACAAGATGAATTGACTTTGCCACTTGTGGGAGTCATTGGTGCATGACTGATCAGAATATTATTAAAGTAAAGTAAAAGTGATGTTGCTGCCAACAAATATGAAAACTCTATTTATTTCAACAGGAACAGCATATCGACCAAATCTTCTCAGAGCATCAGAAATCATCAACGCACTTCTATCTACATATATGCTCATAGTTGGAACATATGAAAAATGTATTTTAATTGGGAAAGGCCTCGTACTGGAGTATTACGTCACTACGTTGTTACTCTCTATTGCCTACTCCTACATATTACAACCTGCTTCTCCTAACCCAATGTCACTCGTGATTAAATATTGGGATTTACTTGTGCATGGTAAGTTAGCCTCGATCAGACCAGTGAGTGCTTCCCAACCTATGGCTGGGTTGTGACCCAAAACATGAACTACCGTATGTATGTCTGAAGAAGTCTTGAGGCGCGAGATTTTACGAGTTTTTTGTTTAATTTTGAGTTGCCTAAAAAACATTCGGAACCACTAGGCTAGATTATTAGTTTTCAATCTTTATTATTTTTGATCGCCCCTTGCCATATTTCAAAAGTAAAATTCTCGGCAATGTGTGCTATAGGAAATGTGTTAATGTGATGCTTCCGAATCAAACACCCCTGCTAATGGTTACAAGGAATTTTTGTTACTGAGATAATGGCAACTGCATGTTCTGAAGTTGAGTCGGAGCTGTATTTTCCTCTAATATCAAATTATTTTAAAAAATGGCATAGATTGGTATTTCATGAAAGACCATATTACTGACTTTCCTCTCCTCCCTGAATAAATTTCCAATCCTATCATTCATTTTCACAGAAGAATCAAAATATGAAAACGGTCGTGCCAATCATATTCCTGACCAATCCGAGGAATCTCCTCCACATGTTGATGGTTTAAGAAGGCGAGGAGGTGATTCCTATGTACCGATGACATCAGCACAAGATATTGTGACATCATACCAGAAAAGGAAGCCTCACAGCAGCCTGTGGATGTTTATCAAACTTGCTGGGCCTTCATTACTTGGCCAGGTAGGTAGAACCTGCGCAGTTTAATCAGAGGTACAATAGCAAGTCCAAGTTCCTAATTCATAGCACAGAGCACCAACCACCAAGCCATATCTATTGATAACAAGGTTCACTCTGGCTTCCGACTCCTCGTTAAAGAAGGGTAAGGCCCAAGCATCCAACTCTAAAAAAAAAAATGAAATTCTGATAACTTTGGTGCTGTTAGGCTTGCTTTCTAAGTTTCTATTGAGTATGTTGACACCAATTATTACCAATAAAAGTCTGAAATTTGCACTTTCGACTGCAAAGAAATCAGAAATTACGATTCCTGCTCCAATATGAATGAAACATGCAGACTCTATAGCTCCTGACACTAATATGCTGAGGAGTTGTAGATCATCGCCCTCACTAGCTTTCAAACATAGCACACATACATAGTGTTAGTCATTATAAGCAGCCATTGATATTTAAGGAGCTGTGATTTCAGGAGGATTGGGTTCGGCATTGGAGGTATTTTTAGCCTGATATGCCCAAAGTCCAAGGCTACAATGACTAGACGCATGATGTACCAATTACCCAACTTACCTTAAGTATTCTTATTTTAAGTTCCTCGGGCTTCATACTGCCATCCAGTGGCTCCATTTTACATGGGACGGATATCTGACGAGCCACCATGTCACTAAAACTGGGTTACTCAAAGATTGTATCATCTGCCTCAATACTGGACCGATACAGGTTTGAATTTCTACTGTTCGTTTTTTTTGTTGGCGGGAGGAGGGTTATACGGTTATTCTGAACAAGGTTCTAGACAAGAATTTGAACTCAGGAATAGGGCTGGGCTTTTCTAATCCATAGTGAACTATTTAAATCGGTTCAGATGAAAATTTCGAATCGTCGCCATAGGTCAAGATGAATTCCCCAACTTTTTTTTATTGAAGCCATATCTTCGATATTCAATCCTGACATATGGCTCTTGTCATCGAGTTATTGTTGAAACATGATTTTTATTGTGTGTGACTGTGAACACCCAGGAAACTGTATGGTGTTGAATTTTATGTTTTCAATAATTCTTGTCTTGACAGGACGAACCCATTAAAATAAAAAGTCACGTAAAATTACTCCTAGGTATTCGAGATTCGATTCGAAAAAAATAATTGATGCGATTCTGAAATCATCAAGTATTCAAAATTGCCTAGCTCTACAAGGGGCATGTATGGATGTGGGTTCTTTTTCTCTATTTCAACTCTTCTAGAAATAATTGATCATGCCATAAGCCAGGGCTTCCTAAACTTTTGAGCTTGCGGCCCCTTTCAATATCTTAAAATTTTTCGCGGCCCCTGTTCAACGTTAATAATGCTAAACATTTCGAAATATACATTTTTGGTATTTTAATGACACTGTGAATTTTCATCTCTACTTTGTAATTTTGTTTTTCAAAAATGAAAAGAAGAAATCCTGCGTAAATAAGTCCTAAGTGTTTTTTTGTGAAAAAAAAAATTGAAGACAATGTATTATTTTCGGAAAAAAACTCACGGTATAATGATGTATTCACTCGGAATCGTAAGATTAGAGAATATAAGTCTATAAAAGTACAATTGATATAGTACTTGTGTTAAATTCGTGTTCTCTTTGCGGCCCCTAAAATTTGTTTCGCGGCCCCCTTCCAGGGACGCAGCCCCCATTTTGGGAAGCCCTGCCGTAAGACATAAAATCTCCTCACCAATTATTACTGATTAAAAATTTAACCTGTTAAGATAACTAGAGAATTGACTTGATAACAAAATTGAAATTGTAACGGGGACTTTATGGACACCCTGTATATTGAGAACTGACCTCATAACAAAATTGAAATTGTGAAGAGACTTTATGGACACCCTGTATATTCGTATTAGTATGCAGCTCTTGATTCACTAATTTAAATTACTCCCATTTCCACAGGGCTTTATCATTGAAGGCTTTCTTGCATTCCTGTATGCCGTCTCTGTTCAGAGGTTAAGTAATCTGACAATATTTGGGCCTTGGTCATTCTTTGTTACATCTTGCCTTCAAAGCATTGTGACAACAATTGCACTTTATGCCTGTAAGTATTTGGTTCTTTTTCAATAGTTTCGGCGGTTACCTGTAACCTTGCTCACATATGTTTTTTTTTTACTTATGAGTGATTGCGCATAATTTTTCTTAGATGTGAGTCTCCTTTTCTTTGCTCAAAGATGAGCCTCTCTTACTTCTGAGTGAGTGCCCATAACTTTGCTCAGAGATGTGTTTCTTTTACATATGAGTGAGTGCCCATAATTTTGTGATCAGAGATGAGTCTCCTTTACTTCTGAGTGAGTGCGCATAACTTTGCTCAGAGATGAGTCTACTTCACTTCTGAGTGAGTGCCCGGAATACTGCTCTGAGATGAGTCTCCTTTTCTTTGCTCAAGAGATGTGTTTCTTTACTTCTGAATGAGTGCCCATAACTTTGTGATCAGAGATGAGTCTCCTTTACTTCTGAGTGAGTGCGCATAACTTTGCTCAGAGATGAGTCTCCTTTACTTCTGAGTGAGTGCCCGGAATACTGCTCTGAGATGAGTCTCCTTTTCTTTGCTCAAGAGATGTGTTTCTTTACTTCTGAATGAGTGCCCGTAACTTTGCTCAAAGATGAATCTCTTTTACTCCTGAGTGTGTGCTCATAACTTTGCTCAAAGATGAATCTTCTTTACTTCTGAGTGTGTGCCCGTAACTTTGCTCAGAGATGAGTCTTCTTTATTTCTGAGTGAGTGCGCCTAACTTTGCTCAGAGATGAGTCTTCTTTACTTCTGAGTGAGTGCCCGGAACACTTCTCTGAGATGAGACTCCTTTACTTCTGAGTGAGTGTGTTTAACTTTGCTCTGAGATGAATCTTCTTCACTTTTAAGTGAGTGTATATTACGATACTTTGAAATGGGCCTTCTCTAATCCTGAGTGAGCACAGGTGGCCGGTTCTTCTTCAAGTAAATTTTCTTATAAACAATAAATAAACCAGTCTTAATTTTTACAATTGATTTTTTAGAATAGCATTAATTCTAAAACAAATTCAAAATAAAACCTTTTTAAATGTATAAACATACTTTGGGTCTAATTATTCTTCTATTCTTTCACAGTCGTCAACGTCACCGGGGCATTCGCAAATCCATTGTCAGCATATGCACTGGAGCGTGAATGTCTTTATGACATCATAGTAGTACTAAATCACATCATTGTGTATGTGTTTGGTGCACTAGCAGGTACGATGGCGTTCAAAATCATTCCGAAAGAAAAACAAATGGTGACCATCCTGGCTTATTCATCAGCATTTTTGTTCTTTTACTGTTTTACCCCGAATATTTTAGATAAAAGTTATATTTTTATGTGAATTTCATGTATTTTAGCCTCAAATTTGTTTTTGTTCCAAATGATATGAATTATCATTGTGACGCTATATATATAATTGTTTTGTCGTAAAAGCCAATTTTGAATGAAAGCATATCTTACTTTAGCTTTGTGATGATGTAATTCAGGTGTTAAGCTTTGCTTGTAGCATTTAATTTATTTTTTATTTATGTTAAATATCTAGTACTAGATGGAAATTTTATCAGAATTTAAAATTTATATTATTTTAAAGAGAGCAAGTTATTGAGATCTTCTATAATTTTAAAGATAAGTTTGCCTACATTGTGCCTTTTTCTATATACTGGTAAATCATCTTCTTTCTCATTCCTTTAAGTATTTTATTCCTGACACACTAAAACTATGTGAATTTACGATGGTGCGTTAAGCAGAGTCACTTAGAAGTGAAGACGAATTTTCTGAGCTAAGTTACAAGCGACTACATTAAGGGCTACATTAATTATGTCGGTGCATAACTGCGCAGGACTTCAAACAGTTTATATAAATCTATTCTTTCGCAAACTCAATTTTGCTCATTTTTAACCGAGAAATCGTGAAAGAAGTTTTTTTTTGATATCTATCACAGAACTTTATAGTTTAAATACTATTTCATTAGTTTTTCTTGTAGCATTTCATTTAATTTTTAAGAAGCTTTTACTCGTGTCAGCTTATTTTTTTTTTTTTTTTCCAACTTTTGAGTTACTGACTGTTTATAAGAAGCATACACGGCGGTGCTATAGGTATTATCTGCTTTGATATTTAATAGAAATTACTGGTTTTAAAATTTATTTTAGATAGTTCGGATTTGTTTTATTTGGCAAGTTAATGAGGCTCTTTTCTGAAGCCAACTATTCCAATTTTAGTTCTGTGCATTTAATTTGTTTTTGATTCGGCCTGTTTATACGAAGCATACACTATAGGCACCATCTAGTTTGATATTTAATAGAAATGTTTAGTTTACCTTGAGTAATACGGATTTGTTTTCCCTGGTAAAGTGAATGAGCCACTGTACCAAATCCAACTATTTGAATATTAGTTTTGCTTATAGCATTTAATTTGTTTTCAGTTTCGGCCTGTTTATAAGAAGCATATCTATTTCTGTACCCAGTTTCGCTATCAGCATAATATTGACCGGTCTTGTTTCCATGTCCTGTGACAGTGGTTCCAACCTTTTTATTCAAGCTACCCAAATTTTTGAAAAAAAAAATTAAGAGTCTCCATGAGTATGCTTTAGCAAATCTCTTAAAAAAAATTGAGCAGAATAACCGATGCCAATACCTACTCTAGAAGCTACTCTCTGATAGAGTTCAAAGGAAATAGAGTTGGTTAAAAAAGAAGCCAAAATTGTATGTTTAAACGGTACTAGAATATCGTGTACTTGACTTTCTTCTTGTTTACTTCTTATTTGTCCATTTGTAGCCGTTTCGTGGGAAAAGTTTCTTATTCTAACTAATTGTATGTGTGCTAGAAGCTTTTATGTGTAAATGCTATTCAGAATATATAATATATATTTAGTTGTTGCTTTTATTTTTCTGCCAAAAATTTTAATGATAAAGCATTCTATATTGTGCCTTGTTCTGTATAATCATACTTTATCTCATTCCTTTGAAAATTTGATTTCTGACATGCTCTGTCACTTTGGGCCAATTTTAAATCTTGTACTATTTTTTTTGTACGATACCAAATTCCTGGCTTTGTTCCGAATAAGATAGCAGCACAGCCAGACACCAATTTATGAAGCTACCATTTATTTGGAAATACCGTACTTGCCTGACCAATTCAAAACACTCAAGCTGAGGGCGGTCAATCTAAAGCTAACAGCTCGTGTCACCAGCATGTGCCAGTAATTTTATTCGTAACTGCGACTTTTCTCATAACTTTATTTTCATAAGTTTAACTCAGCATTCCTGACGATATTGTGTATATCATACAACCATTCCAGCCATGCTCTTATCATTACATTGACACTATGTTCCTGCTGCCCTTTTTCAATTTAAATGTGCAAATAATGGTTTTCTTGGAGTATTTGAACCAAGATGGCAGATACCGAAACGCAGTATGTGTACCAAGTTAGGGTTAGGCCATAATTTCAGGTACAAATACTAGGGGAGACATCTGGCTAGTCTCTGAACTCATAATATAACTAGAATAAGGAAAATTGGAATAAATATTATGGCCTAACCCTAACCTGGTACACATATCACGTTACGATGTCCGCCATCTTGGTCCACATACTTCGGGAGTACCCAAATAATTGCCTGAGCTGCCTAATATTTTTGATTTTTATGAATTCAACTGTTTTTTATTTGGCCATATTTGCTGTGTGTGTTAGCGAGTTTATAGTGGTGCAAGCCCAGTGTTCACCACCCCACACTCAGGGTGTAATTAATTTAGTTTACAATGTTTTAGGTTCTGTTCCTTAGAAAAATGGCAATTGGTGGTTTGGAAATGGCCTTGCTTGGCATAAAAGCACCTTCAGTGTTCACCACCCCACACTCAGGATGTAATTAATTTAGTTTACAATGTTTTAGGTTCTGTTCCTTAGAAAAATGGCAATTGGTGGTTTGGAAATGGCCTTGCTTGGCATAAAAGCACCTTCAGTGTTCACCACCCCACACTCAGGGTGTAATAAATATAGTTTACGATGTTTTAGGTTCTGTTCCTTAGAAAAATGGCAATTGGTGGTTTGGAAATGGCCTTGCTTGGCATAAAAGCACCTTAACAAATAGAACTGGCCAATCCCTGAGGGAAGGTAGAAAGAAACCATTATTTCACAAGTTTGAAAATGTCTACATCAATGGTTCTCAACCGTGTGGGGGGGGGCTTGTGCGCTCCACAAGGGGAGGCATAGACAATATTTTGAGAGGGCGTGAAGCTAATAAAAAATATGCGCAACTTGAAAAGTTTCGAAACCACTGGTCTACACTATAGCATGTGGTAATTAACCAGTGTTCCTCGTGACTATTTTTTTAAACCTGAATGTGCAAATGAATCCTTCAAGCTGCCTTACATGTGATGCATTTCAATTTTTTGTAACCAGACATTGTATTGACTGATTTTAGAATAGAAAGTAGAATATATTCTTTTAAAATCCATATAGAGTTTGCTGAATGTACTTTAATTTCAATGGGCAATAAGATTGTGCAGTCTGGGATAAGTCAGAGTACCAAGTCGAGGTCACTCACAGAGTCAGGTGTGAGTATGCTCATCATTGATAATCTGATTACCCTGCGTGGGTCCGCTGGTTCCAATCCAATAGTTATGTGCGAGGGGATTGCTGGACTCCTCGCTGCTGTGAGATGGTTTACCAAACTACAGCTTACTGCGTTCTCTACTATCGAGTCCTTGCTTCTGAGAAGAATTAACTGGCTAACTAATCCCATACCCAACATGAACTGGTATCTGGACGAGAGGCCGTGTGTGGTTCGCCTTATGCTTAAACTGTCTTATCAAATTTCCTTTCCCTGGGACACTGTAAATTTCATCCTATATTGGGACTCGCAGGTGGTTAATAATTTGACTACAATTAAAAGTAATTCTTTTTGGTTCCTTGAGTCACTTCGAGTCTTCGATAAATGGTTACTTGAGCGTTCTCAACGCTAATATTAATATATTTTGAAAGAATGCACCTTGCCATATTTTTTACTTTAAAATCTGGCATTAAACAGGATTTCATTGCAAAAAATAACGAATCTGAAAAGTGAGAGCAGCACTTCTGATTACTCAAAGGTTTGGGAAGTAAATTTCATGGAAATGTTTCAATTTTGAATTTACTTTGAGCCTAAATCCCGATCAATGTTATAATTTCAAACTCAGACCTTGGCAATGAAGACAATTGCCTGAGGGCAGACATGATATGCTGTTGTTTTATTTATATGGGATTAGAGTCCTGTTTTACCATCAAACTGTTTCGTGTAGTAAGATTTATGAACACAATAACATGACAAAATGTGACACATTCTAATTATTGATTTTAATTAGCGCCAGTTATTGTCAACCATTCACAATTAAGTTTTGTGATACTTCAATATTCTGGTTGGCATTTAAGTAAATATTTTTAAATAGCATTAGAAGTACTAAGTAAGTCGCAGTTAATCGAAGTCTCAGGCCAACCAATACTTTAAAATTTCCATCCTTACTCAACCTCTGGCTAACTTCGATCGAGTGTTTGAACAAATAGAGCTTCGTTAAACATGTTGGGTTCATGGACAAAACACAAAATAAGAAACAAACCTTAGGGGTTTAAAACATTCAGATTAGAACGTTTTTTCCTGGCAATTAATTCCAATCGATCTTTAAATAGCATTAGAAGTCCCTTAAGTCAGTCGCAGGCCAATACTTTGAAACATGTCTACATCTTCGTGGCCCGTCATTCAAGGATAGGACTATTCGATACTCTCACCCAAGTATAACTAAAAAAATCTACTGACACGATGACTATTTGAAACATGACAGTATCTTTGTGTTACAGGATCACACTACTTTTCAATATTACTTATATATTTCGAAAAGTCAACCACTATTTGAACACTCAAAATAATAATTAAGCTAAAATAGTTCTTGGAACATAGTACGTAAAAAGTTATTCCATACAGAAATAAACAGCGTTCCCATACACATAATTAATCTCCTGCACTTCAACAAATGCAATAACTCGCATTAGAATGTGCATAAAACATTATCAATAAAGAAAGAATAAATTTTATTTAAGAATATAGGGAAAACTGAATTTCCCCAAAAAATGTCTTTGGACTAAATTAGCTCAATTGAAAAAGCTTAAAATACTCAACAAACCAGATCTGTGCAGTTTAACATTATTTCAATGAATAATTAGTCAGGATTTCAGACTTGGAGCGGGACCCCAATAAAACATTCCAGAGCAGGGGTGAGCAAGGTGACCAAGGGCCAAAAATTTTGCCCCCTATACTGGGCCATGTGAGTGTGACGTAAAATGTTACATTTTATGAACAATATTTACGGTGTTATGAAAGAAGAAGTGGAAAACATCAAGCCTCGTTTAAAAAACTAAATTTAATCGCAATCTCAACAAATTCCATGAGATATTTTTTAATTAGATTGAGTTATCCAACGAACCTGATTTGACCTGCGGGCAGTAGTTTGCCCATGCCAGTTCCAGAGGCTCAAACAGTGTAATTGTCATTTATAGTCAGAATGGTAAAAACTATAAATATATATATAAAACCAAACTCAATAATCATTAAAGTGTAGCAAGTTTTTTTTCATGGCAAAGGAGCATGGGCTTCAATTTCAACCCACACTTTATGAGTCCAATTTCCTAAGAACTAAGCCATCAGATTAAAATAATATTAGGGAAGCTATGTTTGCCTGGTGCCTTGTATGCAAATTTACATCATACATTAAAAAAAATTAAGTTTCAAAAACCAAAAAACAATTCGAGGGAACATATAAACTTATGGAATATAGAACGGAGCTTTCTGTGACTTCGAGAGCAAGATGAAAAAATTATCATGACTAGGTCTTTTACTTTCGATTATTAACTACCACTCCAATACAGGGGCTCCCAAAATGGGGTACATGTACCCTCGGTACACTCCGTCTTGTCAAGGAGTACATTACATCATGTATAAGGATATTCTATCCATAACTTCTAATCTGCCCTGAAATACATTTCATCACTTGGCATGGATAATTTGAAGCCCTGAGTTTAGCCGCTTTTTAGAGTTACATTTTCACCAAATGAAAATCTGTAACAATGATAACTAACAAATGTCAACTTTCGCAGTTCACATGACTTATTTTGTCCAATCACAACATGTAGTACAATTTAGGGAGAACACATCTATAAATTGTGTAATGATTGGCGACGAACCGAAAGTTTGGGAAACGCTTCCTTGATATAAAATGTTTAAATTATCTAAATCAGAAATGCTCTTAAAATATATTGAAACAAAGCCGATACCAGAACGGGTACACAAGCAATCAAGAAATTGACTAAGGAGAATAGACAAACTGAAAGCTAGGGAACTCTTTTCTAATAACAAATATTGGAAATATCTTAATCAGAAATCTGTTTTAACATGTATGAAACAAAGCTGGTACAAGCGCACTGAGTCAACAATGGGCGATCCCGAAGTATGTGCAACAAGACGGCGGACACCTGAACATAGTATGTGTACCAGGTTAGGGTTAGGCCATAATTTTATTCCAATTTTCCTTATTTTAGTTCCAATACGAGTTCGGTTGACTAGCCAAGTGACACTCGTAGTATTTGTAACTGGAATTTTGGCCTAACCCTAACCTGATACACATACTACGTTCCGGTGTCCGCCATCTTGTTGCACATACTACGGAAGTACGCAACAATGGACCCAGAATAAGTTGAGAATAAAGTAAGCAACAGGCTTGCCATCCACAGAAAAACTTGAGTGGTGAGAAAATATTTCAAAATAAAAAATATCTGGTGTTTAACACAACAATAATAATATGTAAAATGTTGGAATTATTTTAATTGCAAAGTAATGCTCAAAGTTTTCACCCTGGGGTAATGGGGTAGGATTTTCATATTCATCCCAGACAGAGGGAAGACGATCATTCAAATAGTAAACCCTGCCTCCCATCCATTTTGGGGTATGGGATTAGTTAGTTTCGAATGACCTTGACTATCAGTAAATGACTTCTAATCACCGGTCATTTCCTGAAACTTCACATTTAAATTTTTTGGGGAATCCCCCTCAAGATGTAGATTCTGTTTTCATTGTCAAGAGCGAAGTGCTGGGGGGGTAAGAAGACAATAGGGAATTGAAATTTTGGGGCCTGAGTGAGGGGGGTGGATGTAGGGGAATACCCGGCATAAAACCAGGTCTTATAATATCTGGCCGTGTAGTCATCGTGGTGGGTGATACCAGAGACGTTCCAGAATAAAATCTTGTAGTCATTGGCAACAAACTTTCACCCCCAGCAGGAACTGCTTGAGGAACTGAAACAGCCTTGGCTGCGGAGTTTGCTGCTGCTGTTAGCTCGTCTACACCCTGAGCCTGTTTTGAATAAGCAGCAGGGCTGTGTTCATTCAAGTGTGATTCGTACCGTGATTGGATAATCGGTGGTAAATGTTGAGATGTGTGGAATGCTGAATCATCATCACTAGAGGGAGACTGCGATCTTTCTGTGGGCCTTTGTGAGTTTGAACCTCCCTGGGAACTGAACCCCTGTGGCGAGCTTGGAGGAGGAGAATCCTGTAATACAGTTTAGTTGAAGCATGTTCAATAATATTCAATGTTTAGTAAACTAGGCGATTCAAACTCTGTTCTACCCAATTGCATTGCTTGAAGGTTATTTCACAGTGTGTTTTCACTTTTTCAACATGAATTGTTTGAACATAATGGGATTTGAAATCTACCAATCATAATACCACTGGATGATAGAAGGCGTGGCAATTTACTCTCAACGTCAATTTAATTATTTGCGATATCATTTCGGGACTGTGAGTTCTAAATGCAGGCAGACAAGACATTGTGATGATAAGATAATGCCAAAGTTGCAAAGGTACTCCTGAAGTATGCGTACTAAGATGACGGACACCGGAACGTAGTATGTGTACCAGGTTAAGGTTAGGCCATTATTTTATGTACAAATACTATGTGAGTCAATTGGCTAGTCCATGGTGATAGAACTAAAATAAGGAAAATTGGAATAAAATTATGGCCTAACCCTAATCTGGTACACATACTACCTTCCGTTGTCCACTATCTTGATATATATACTTCAGGAGTACTTTGAAAAAAACATAAAAACCCAACGTACCTCTCCAATATACTGTTGTTGTTGGATAGTTATTCTTTTCTCTTTTTGCCTCCGATTGCAAAACCAGACTCTCACAACCTCCCGATCCAAGTTCAAATCTTCGGAGAATTTATAAATGTCCTCTGATGTTGGTTTCGGGTTCTGACAAAGAAAATAAAAGATTAAATGTGGGGAGGGGGAATAACCTGTCTAACAATAACTGACAAGGATGATATTTAATATTTTTATATAAAATGTTTTTCCAATCTTTCACTCAAACCAACTTGATTTTGGGTTCTGACTAAGAGAATAAAATGTTGGGAAGGGAAATAACCTGTTAACCGAAAACTGACAGATTATGGGTCAATATTGTTATACAACGTTTTCTCACGCCTTTTTCCCTGAAAAGAGTGCAATACAAGCATTTCACTTGCGTATGTAGCTATTTTGAAAGGACAATACCTTTCCAGTTCAGCATTGCCTAACTAGGATAGGATTAACATATTTATCTGGGGGAGAGGGAAAATGATAAGCAAACCACGGCCTCTCGTCCATTTACCGGTCCATGTCAGGTATGGGATTAGTTAGCCAGGTATTTGTTTTCGGAAGCATGGACTTGATCCAGGGTGGGATGGGTGAGACAATACCTTGAGATTTTAAACCTGGAATCAGTCCAACAACTGGCATACTGGCGCACAATGCACCTGTATAATTTATTACAGCTCAATAGCTCTTGACATTTTAATAGTCACTCGTAGGCGTAGCTTTGCTCCATGTTAAGTCTCTTATTTCTGAGTGAGTGTCTCCAACCTTGTTCAGTTCTGAGTGAGTGTCTATAACTTTCCTCAAACATGAGTCTCTTTTACTTCCGAGTGAGTCCACATGACCATGCTTCGAGCAAACTTCCAAGAAATATATATAAGCACCCTACCTTTTTAAAAGCAACTTCTAATCTAGTTTTTCCTTCGGTAGGAATGCTTGTTCTTTTCTTTCTACGTCTGCCAGAAAGTATCGGTGGTTGAGGTACGGGGATCACAGGCTGAGGTAGTGAGAGACGACCACCTGGAAAATGATAAATCATAGTTACGCAAGACTTTTTTGTGTGACGATTTCAATTTTCACTCCAAGGCTCTTTACAAGCAGACAATGAGGCGCTCCAGAAGTGTGTGTACCAATATAGAGGTAACTAACTTTGTACGCCTACTTTACATCAAGTTGTGTAAATGGACTGAAACCTATGAGCAGGAGGATGTTCACTTGGCTAACACAGACAGCCCCCGAACTTGTAACAGAACTAAAATGAGGAAAATCGAATTATGGCCTAACCCTAACAGGGTACACACTCTACGGGAGTACCGGCAATGATATGTAGTGATTCTTTTGAATGGGCTCATTATCCATAAGATTGGAATTTTCACATTCATTCCGAGATAAGATAGTGCATATGGCAAATCGTGTCTTCTCGTCCAGTTAACAGTCCGTGTCAGGTGCAGTATTACTTAGCCCAGTGGTGTGCAACCTTTAACACAGGAGAAATAACTGGATGAAATCGCGGGCACCTTTATTCAACATAGGCTTTCTAGTAGTTGCAGCTGCAGGCACAAAAATTTTGGTTTTTGATCTTATGACATGCGTTGTTTGCTTTGCATAAGCTAGCTGTTAGGGCACTGTAACGCGGTGGTGGGATTCAAATTTTTTGTCAGCCGGTTCTGTTACAAAAGTCATATTTTTCGGTTACAAAAAGTCATGTTGTTTTTTAGTAATGCTAACCGGTTCGCTGATCTCATAAAATTCCATGAGATGGTTCTATAGAACCGGTGCGAACCAACTAAATTCCACCACAGGCCATATGCCTATATATTAAATTGGACTGTGTATAGGCTTCGCAAAGCAAAGAAATTGGAATTACTCACACATACCAAATTAAAATAAAAACTTGTTTTTCCTTGAAGGCCGCATTTGGCTCGTGGGCCGCAAGTTACACACCCCCGACTTAGTCTGTTATTTGTTTTTCAGATGTATGTATCAATTTAATGGAGGAAACCGCAGCCGACAGCAAGTAGGCCTACTGTCAGTATTGAAAAAGAATGCATTCTATTTCGTTCAAACTATTTTTGAATTTATCCTAAGGGGGAGAGGTTACCAGTCCATGTCAGGTATGAAAATAATCAATGAGAATATCTGTCAGAGACCGAAGACTTATCGATCAAAAGTTAGGGAATCCTCCAAAACAGTGCTCTTACTCCATAGTGACACCTTGTGTCCCATCACTAATTAATTATTAATTCGCTAATTATACTACATAATTCGCTCAAAATCAATAGGCTCCTGGTCCGAGATATGATGAATGCACATGCAAAATCTGGAGCAGATTCAATCTCGCTTTCGTGAGATATTGCGTGCATCTAACAGACAGACATACAGACAGACATACAGACAGACAAACACCTATCAACATAATTACCGATTGAAATCGATAAGTAACAAGGTAATTAACTCATGGGCTTGACAGCGAAGAAAATGGTAACTTCCTAATTGTTCAGAGGGCACATTTATTATTCTGTGGAATTTTATCAAAAGAGTCCCATATCATTATCACAAGCATCACCTTCATTGCCGTCTCCTCTTGCAACCCTCGCCACATCTTGCAGCCATCTTTCAAGTAGAGGCTTCAATTTGCACATATTCTTCACACTGAAATCAAGATAATAAATAACCTTATATGACAGGGTCACTAGGGAAAGGATAGTTGAAGGCCATGGTTCGCAAACACCGACGGCTAGGAGCGATGAATCACCTATTTGCAATACGTTTATGAAATTCTGCTAGTAGAAATTTCGTCTTGTGTACCGGAGGGCGAAGCCATAGGACATTGCGTAACGCGGGTCCTTGCCCTAGATGCGCTGGTGTTTGTGGTATGCATAATTACAACTTTGGTGTAATAGTTTCAAAATTTACTTACTTAATAGTCAAATGAATTATTACGGCTTCACGTCCGGTTAACAGTAATTAAGTTTTTTTTTTTAATTTTGACAACAATTGCAAAAAATTCAAACAATGCTTACGAACTTTTGTCTTGCCTTAAAAAAACTCTAGTTTTACAATATCGCGTAGGCTTTGTCAATGAACCCGCGGTCCGGCCCACTTGTGACTGTCGAAATTATGACTATAGTTTTTAAGGATATAAATTTATGTTTGAAATTTCAATGAAAATAACAAATCGTCAGCTACAATATAGATGTATTTTTTTGCCCCTAAATAAAATCTGTCACTTGGTACACTAGCTAGTTTGTTGTACATTAGATAATACGCTAATTATTTGTAAATAAATCGTTTTTTTACCCTAGTTTAGCATTGGGATTTGAGAGAGTCTATTATCTGGAACCAGCCCACATAAGAAATATAATAGCCCACCCAAGCACAAGACTGAAATAACAAATCACTTGAGCTCTCAGTCAAATACAAATCCGCACTTACAATAGGCACAGGTCTGTGTTTACTCATCAAAGAGCTGGAAATGCAGATATATTTTTATTTTGATATAGATCGAATATGCTACCATTTGTGGTGGCTAAATTAATGTCAACAAAAAAGAATCTGACACATAAACATTTGAAATTTTTTCCTTTTCAAATTAAACATCAAACATTTAATTCGGTGAAAAAAAAGTTGAAACAAAATCCCAACGGAATCATACTTTTGAGTTTTTTCGCAAAAGTCAGGCTTTTTCGATACTGATTCTTTGTGGTTTAAGTTACTGTGGTCTGTGACATAATGTAATTATGCAACACCACAATTTTGATATACTTAGAGATGCTTTTACTTCTTCTCAGTGTGTGTGTCACTTTTTGAGACGTGAAACAAAACAAAAAATTGTACCTCAAATTAAGAGCCTCGAATCTTGATATGGTCGTTTGGCTGAAATCTGTTCCGTAAAGCTTCCCCATCGCAACTCCTACATCGCCCTGGTCGTAAGAATAAAGAACATTTACGGATTAGGATCCATGGCGCATAATTAAACAGACATACTGGTTTTGCGGTGGACCTAACATGTTAACGATTACGGGTGTGGCTCTCCTGCCCTATTTGTCAATAATCAGAATTGGAATTTCAAGAAGCATTAAGTTTATGTAAGACAAACAAAGAAGATTTGTATGCTCTATAAAATTTTTCGATATCAAAATTTGAGTTTCTCAAAGCTGGAGATTTCTCAGGGGCTAGAGTCAAAATTTCTGCAACATGGTCTCATATTTTAAGCGACCCTGAGTCATGTATAAGTTTTCCCCCGAATCGACAGCCCTGCTCAAGGGTCATGACCCCTCGAAATGGAAAACGAATGAATGTAAACATTAATACCAAACCTGAGTGAATCCAAGCTTTATTCTTTTCTGTTTGAATTCTTTCGCGAATAATTCAAGATTTTCGAGTTCCGAAGCCTCATCCATCTGTGGAAAAATAAATTTAGTATGTAAACCAGAAAATTTCATATCTAAAAGGGAGCAAATCTCTCGCATAGTCACTCCTTAAATCAATGGTTTTCAAATGGTGAGGGGGCGCCACACAAGAGGGTAAGAGGAGCTAATTAAAAATGAAATATTCGTTTAATTTGATCCTGCCTTATTTTTCATTTTAATATTTCTTTGTTTACATTTCTATATCATGTTAATATTTCGTCGTGTTTTTTGAATAGAACATACTTTTGCCTTACTATCTGTTATTTGTAGCATATTGTTAGCTAGTTATTCTTGAGGTGGGACGTGAGAAAAATTTTGAGAACCACTCAAAACGGGAGAGGTATTTCACGTTTCTCTTTACAAGAAAACATTCTTCCCAGTTTTATTGCTAGATGAGGTTATTTTACAAAGTATTTTCACATAGTTGAACATGAATTTTTCTTTTGGGGGCGCAGGGAGGGGCTAGGGTGCAAAAGCGTTTGAAAGGGGGCCACCAGCCATAAGAAGGTTGGAACCCTGTATCAGTGGCTGCTAATGTATAAATATTCGGAGCGAAAGACATCGTATGAAATTTATATCCATGCTTGAAAATTAACTCACAAATTTCTTTTTCTTTGATCCTTCTTCGTATTCGTTAGAACTGTCTGATGAGAATGACTGAAAAATGAAAGCATTATTTGTTTCATTCAATGCTAGCAATGATAAAGAATAGCTGCAGAACCTTGTTTCCAGACCTGTTTGTCCCTAATTTGAGTATTTTCCATAATTTTTTGTGAGGATTTCCCTTTCACTACTCTAGCACTAAAAGGAATTATCTCTTTAGAATGAAGATTCAGATTCAGAAACAACAACGAAAAAGAAAATGTGAGAACACGTCGTGAAAAGTCTCAGATTCGATGCCAATCTAAGAGAATATCAGTCTTTATAAAAGTAGCAGTTGCTCTTTTAATATCAGTGGACTAAAATAAGCATGGGTTATATCAGAAATGGGCTAGGTTTTTAAACCAGGGGCCAAAAATTTTGCCCTTTGAGAATGACGGGCCATGTGAGTGTGACGTAAAAAGTTACATTTTATGAACAATATCCACAGTGTTACAAAAGTGTAAAACAATAAGCCTCGTGCCAAAACTAAATTGAATCGCAATCTCAGCAAATTCCTCGAGCTCTGTTTTAGCAAAACAAGAAAATTTGATTTAAGTTTGGTTGTGGCAGCATCAGGTAGGCCAGATTGAATTACCCAACAAACAGGATTTTGCCCATGACAGGATCATATGTTCAAGTTCTTCCATTGACTATATCCTTTTCCCTAGAATGAATATTCAAAGCCTACCCTGATTTGAAATTCATCAACACCTCACCTGTGACAATGTCTGATGTTGCATCTGTATCATATTCGGAGGAGAATCAGAGTTGGAGCGATCTGACGGAAACTAGAGGAATAAAATAGAATTTATTGACAACAAAAAAGGGTGAGACTGCCCAAGGAGTTAGGAGCGTCGGCCCCCATTACAGGGGATGGATTACTGATACAGACCCACTACCAACCACCTCAACCAGAATGTGATAAATTGGATAAGTAAAAAAAGATTCCGATCCCCTCAAAAATATTTACATCCAGAGCCTTGTCAAAAACCACCACAAACTTGCAAAAAACTGTGAAAAATCGTGGGAAACCACCAAAAATGTGATAATATATTTACATGAATATGAACAAGGCATTATTAAAAAAATCTTGAACTTTAATATCGAGCATTGGCAATAACACAAACAAGCTAAGTGTGGGAATTGTAAAAATGGAGACCAATAAGCCTATCTAATCCTCAGTGATGCAGCCAGAATATTTTGAGTTACACAAACGGAAGATCCACACCGAATTTATTTTTCAATATGAAAGTCTTATATTTCATCTTTGGCTTGAATTTGATACATTCGCAAAATCAATTTTATCGATTCCATGCGTTCTTTTGTGGACATGACCCAATCCAGAATACATCGATTAACACATCTCATTATTTCAAAATGTATCATGAATAGCAGATTACTCAGTTTTCCATCTTTAACTACCGTGTTTCCCCGAAAATAAGACCTTGCATGAATTTTAAAATTATTTTAATATAAGCCGTCCCCTTAAAATAAGACCTAGTCATTAACGCAAATTTTTTTGTTATCCATAAATAAATCGATTTCATTATTTTGTATATTTGAAAATCTCGTGATTCTCTACTTTGTAATTTTGTTTTTAAATAAGTGAAAATAACAGACATCTCCCAAAAATGAGCCCTAATGTTATATTTCAAAGAGAAAATTGAAATACAATCCTGTCTTATTTTAGGAGAAACACGGTATATATAATATTGTAAAAGGAACAAACCTCTTCCTCTGAGTGCCGTCGATAGGGGTGTTGCCCCAAATTTAACATGTGATGCCCTCTAGTGACAAGATGATCAATGTCTGAGACAGGTGGTCGGAAACGTTGCAAAGTTTCTTCTAAATTAAAGTGGCCGAGCGTATGATTCCTTTGGGGACTTGGCTCCTATGTAAAAAGAAAAACAATATATTACCCGACACTGCTCTTGTGCCGAAAGGGGTGTTTCAAACTTTTCTGCAGCCTTGGGGGAGTTTTTAGTGCCAGCACGAGTTTCTGATAATGATGCCCCTTATACTCAACTTCAAACATGATTTGAAACAAATTATAGATGTTGTTATATATGAGAATAAAGAAATTAAATAGTAAGTGAGAGTGGAATGTGAGTGATATGAATATTGGGTGATGCCCCTATGGGCCCCCTCCCCCCTCTAGACACTCTCCTGTATGCAAGGTTTCTTAAACTGGGTCCTCATGTTTTCATAGGGCCCCAAGCAAAGGTGGCAATGGAATTGGGTACCATTAATGAGGACTACATTGAATTTTTATCAAATTAACTCATTTATTTGTTTATTCTTTCGATTATAATAAATATAGTGGGAAGATTCCGGTCCAACCAAAAATCGTGGCTACTTACATATTCAGTGCCTGCTTGCACAGAGTCTTATTCGGAGTGAAGGTGTTATTATTATTGTTTAACAGTGCTTATAACTAGCGTAGTTTTGTGCACCAGGACTATGATATTAGGCATTGGGTGTTCAAATGCTTCTACCCGTATTCTATAACAAAAAGACGAGAATATCGGTCGGAGACAGAAGACTTATCGATCGAAACTGCGGTTTCAATTCGTGACTCTATAGTGACACCACGTTTCCCATCACTAATTAATCAATACCTTGCTAATTATACGACATAATTCATCCAAAATCAATAGGCTTTTGGTCCGAGATATGATGAATGCACATGCAAAATTTGGAGCAGATTCAACCATGCCTTCGTGAGATATCCCGTGCATCTAACAGACAGACAGACAAATACCTATCAACATACTTACCGATCTAAAGATCGATAAGTAATAATTCTGGAATTTGTTAATATTCACTGGGTAGTAAAGATGTTGAACCCTAAAAATGCGATGTGTAGGTTCCAGAATATTCCAAAATCTCAAATTACCCTTTTTAACTCAATAATTTGGGTGAGCGATATTGAACTGCAAAAATTACGGTTTTTTCCAAGAACACTGTACAGCTACTGGAATATCAGTGACTGATTGCGCATAGAGTTGTTAGATGTGGAAATTCATATAAAAGAAAAAACACACCCCAGAATGTTAGAATTGTTACTCACAAATACATTCAAAGTAAAAGTATTATTAAAACGTTTGATTAAAAGATAAAAGCAAATGTCGGATATTTCAAATTACCTTATGATTTCTGGAGTCTTTTTTCTGAAGTTCCGAAGCAATTCTATCAATACTTTTTCCTTTTTCTAACTGTAAATAAAAATTGAATTCTACAATTATCAAAGAATATGATTCTGTTTTTGTTGAACCAATACTAATTCGTTTCCTAGTACAGACCAGCTTAATAAGCACTGATCTATTCGTAATATTTTCAAACACAATTTTTTAACATTTTTAATATGATTGCAAAGGGGGTATGAAATATTTATTTAGGTAAAATTCAAATTATGATTAGACCAGCTTATTAATTAAGTACTAATTTGTTTAGAAATTTATTTCAAACAAAAATTATTTCAAAATTTAAGATGACTTAACATAACTCAACATGTTTATGATTGCAAAATGGGTATGAAATATTTATTTCGGTAAATTTAAAATATGATTAGAGACCAGCTTTATAAGCACTGATCCATACATAATATTTTCAAACAAAATTTCAACATATTTTTATGATAACAAAGGGGTATTAACTTGGAAAAAAGTTACAAGCTACTGTCCTACACTCTTCTAAACATTACAATGCCTATTTTTCTCCAATCTGCAAATATTAGCACTAAAGCGCAAAACACATTACAAACTGTCTGGCAAGAACACTATTTCACCCTTGAGGCAAAATTTTCAAACATTTAAAACAATGTTTATGATATAACAATGATAACAAGGGTAAAACAATTATTCTAGTTTAACTCGCTTTAAATAGGAATGAAATACACTGGAAAAGAAAATCAGTAATTTTCAGGTTCTCTGAACTCGTAATCGAACTAAAATAAAGAAAATTGGAATATAACCCTAACCTGGTACACATACTACGTTCTGCTGTTTGTCATCTTGGTTCACATACTTCGGGAGTACCAATTTATATAATATAACATATAATATACGATGTGGACCATTTACATTCCTTATATGTGAAAATGGTAACATTTATTCGGCCAACCCTGTATGTATTAATAAATACAAAATTTATATACAAACAGGCAACAGCTACAGGTACACAACAACTAACAAATACAGCGCACTGGCATTGAATTAAATTGAATGAAAACCAGATGAGGAGCAAAGCAATGGATTATTAATATCAATAGGAAGAAATACCTAGGGGATTTCAAAAACAATTCAATATGGCTTCCTGAAAAAAATTTTACCTTATGGCAATGCGAGATGAAAAGGAAATATATATATAGAATAAATATAAACAAATTTAAAAAAAACAAAATCATATCAGAATTATTACAACCTTGTATTAGCTAGGAATGATGGTAAGTTTAATTCAATTGGTAAATGTATCGTTAATAAGTCCCAAAAATTATGATATTTAAATTTTTCATGTCTGTTAATTGGTGAGTTAATTGGAACGTTATTGATTTATTTTGAATATTTAAATTTCAATATTTATGTATGCAAAATATTCGAATCACAACACTAAAGTCAACACCTATCTTCTAATATCCCTGTCTAAAGAATAATCTAATATATAATTTTTTCAATATGTTAATGACTTTCAAGACTTCTATGAGTACTCATTCTAGTTCGGGGCACAAGACCTGCTATTTGCCCTTGTTGTGATGACAGATGAAAAGGAAATAGGCACCGTAAATGCTCGTTTTAACGCCCGGTCTTGATTAACGGCCCGTTTGATTAACGGCCCGTTTGAATAGCCGCCCGTGTAAACAGAACATAAAAATAAATAAGGGCCGGTGCTTGAATACCCGCCCAGTGTAAAAATTTTTTTTTTTGCGGATTTGTACCTGCGGTGCGTAGAAAGTCATTTTCATTATTTTCGTTTAAATCATACTTGAGAACTGGAAATGACAATATACGGTATTAATTACTGTAACGATCGATCTTATCTACCGGTATTTTTGTGTGTAATTTTACTTTAAAAACAAGCGCCCCTGCTTGAATAAGGGCCGGTTTGAATAAGGGCCCGGTTAGTGAGTATGTTTAAAATAATAAGCGCCCGGGCTATTAAACGAGCAAATACGGTATACATAACAGTATAATATCCTAACATACAAGCAGAGTTTACAACTAAAAAAAGTTGCCAAACTAAGGGGTCGGCTTATACGAGCATAACTCTGATCACAATTTTGACAGTGATAGTGAGAATGAAAAGAGGATTTTGAAACACCTCTTACTGTTAGTAATGAGAGCTAACACGAGAATATCGGTCGGAGACCAAAGACTTATCGATCGAAACTGCGGTTTCGAATCATGACTCTATAGTGACACCGCGTGTCCCATCAATAATTTTTTATTAACTCGCTAATTATACGACATAATTCAGCCAAAATCAATAGGCTTTTGGTCTGAAATATGATGAATGCACATGCAAAATTCGGAGCAGATTCAACTTTGCCTTCGTGAGATATCGCGTTCATCTAACAGACAAACAAACAGACATACAGACAGACAAATACCTACATATATTTCAACATACTCACCTATCTTGAGATCGATAAGTAATAACAATAATTGTTATAATTTTCAATAATTCTCTTCTGCAACCATTTGCTGTGATATGGTGTGTTACTATTTGTAGGGTCAGCTTATATCCGAATAAAAATACATAAATAATAAATTGTTATATATTTATAAAGAGAGCAATTGGAATGAACAAAATACAACCCAACTAACTAAGTCAATGCAATTCAAGACGCCTATGGTACTCATTCGAAGAATCCTAATAAGGGTATTACTGCGATTTCCGCCTAACTTTGGGTGCATCCTTGTGTTAGCTGTGGTCTCTAAACTCTTCTGACATATTAACCCCCCCCCCCCCCCCCCCCCTCCATTGACTATTTTGAAGCTATTTTGAAATTCACTAGTAAATCTTCTATCATTGCTCGTTCTATTTCTAGCTGAGCATCAGCACATTGTATTCAGTGTTGAAAAGGAAATATAGACTTAATAATAAGTCAATTCAACTCAAATATACCTATTTTTCCAAGATTCAACTTTTTAATAAGACTCTTTTACCGACTTGGACCTATGAAAATATTCCTCTATATGCCAAACCTTATATTTCTAATTATTTATATTAATTCATTAGCAAATCAGGGGATTTCAACAACAAATTAAATACTTGTTCCTGACTATCCTCATGGCAATACAAATAATTCTAGAGCCTTTGCCGCATATCGTTCATAATTATTTATTTTAAGTGTTAATCAGGCTTAAAAACCCATGCCTGAAGGTTAATGATAACAATAACAAACAAAGACTCAGAATTGAATACTTGAAACACTGTCCATGAGTGTCCTGGCCTGTAGAAAAGTTAAGATAAACAATGATTTGGGTGGTTTCTATATAATTTACAGTAGTAAAAGGAAAGCCTTTTGGGTGATACCGTAAAACTTTTTTACAAGAGATGAGAAACATTTCTAGATTATTTCTACAATCAATGCCATTCTTGGTTATTGCAGACTTAAGGATATTTTGTAGAAAAGAATTGAAAGCAAGCCAAATATGATTGGGCGTTTCTATTTAATCTTGCTGCACACTAACACAAATATATTTCTGTAACGTTTCGTCTGACCGAGGTCAGACTTCTTCAGACAAGCATATACAACTCGGGCTGTTAGCAATGCTACGTAGTAAAAACAACAATTATAATAAAAACAATACGACACTCGACCTTAGTTGCACATCATACTTGAAAACATGCAACAGATATTACGTCGGAAATTACAGTCTACATTTTAGCCAAAGATTCACTATTTTCATCGAAATTTTATACGCAAATTGATATCCATAAAAAATTATAGTTATAATTTCTGCAGTCATAAGTGGGCCACATGAAACACTTCAATGGGCCAGCCGTAATTTTCCTATCCCACTGATATAGAATGTCTATTCCATGCTTTCACAAGTAAAATATAAAAATGTTCATTCACAAGGCTACACAGTCACTCTGCAATGAGAGTGGAATGGCTGAAAAATCAACTGATGTTTTCTAATTACTGCAAAAGACATTAAACTACTCTAAACTATAGTAAATTAAACCTGCAGTCAACAAACCAGGCCAACATATTACTTGATACCTCTGTTTTATTCAACTACCTAACTTATACTATAGTACATATCGATATGCTTTTGTGATTGATAGAAGAGAAACATGACATGAACAACACGATTCACGTTTCTTTACATGTCACATGTAATTAATTACTGGAAGGAAGCATGCTGGCGCACTTCTTTTTTGTTGTCAGAGGTAAGTTGATAAAAACAGAAAAAGAAATTGAAAGTACAGTTAGTTACATGCAATCAGTTAGAAGTAAAAGAAACCCATATCTGAGCAAAGTTATGGCACTCACTCTAAACTATCTCTGAGGACTGTTATGCATGCTCTCTCATTGATGAAGGAGACTTATCTCTGAGCAAAGTCACCCCCACTCACTCAAAAATAAAAGACTCATTTTTGAGAAAAGTTACGCTCACTCACTCAGAAGTAAAGGAGACTCATCTCTGAACGAAGTTAGGCGCACTCACTCAGAAATAAAGAAGAATTATCCCTTAACGAAGGTATAACAACAACTGAATTTCTAATAGCTACTGAAACTTCATTTAGACAGAATAAATCTTATAAACTTACCATTAATATTATTCCGTAATGGCTGTCACATTTGCTTCGGATGATTGATGTTGATAAACAATTATGTAATACAGAATTTTATGTCGGTAGCTGACCAATTTTCATTATGACTCACAATTATAAATTTAGATGGATTATTTAAGAATAATGAATGGCTAACCTGCAAAAGCAATTTTTCAGCGACACATTATTTTCTATATGACATGACTAATTAATTGCTCATTACCAGCCAAAACAAGAAAAAAGAACAGGTTTGTGGAATACACTAACACATAAACGAGAATATCGGTCAGAGACCGAAGACTTATCGATCGAAAGTTAGGGGATCCCTCAAAACAGCACTCTTACTCCATAGTGACACCTTGTGTCCTATCACTAATTAATTAATAACTCGCTAATTATACGACATAATTCGCCCAAAATCAATAGGCTTCTG